TAACCAAAACGTCTTATAACTTGGAATGGAGTATATATGACATTCGAAGTGTGCTCACCGTATCTGAATTGTTTTCTTTTAATCATACACCTTTCATATACTTGAAGTTAGTACAATGCATTCTCTCTTATCATTTGCAGATAGATGGCCCAACAGACTCACAATCTTTGGATATTGGGATTCAGCGTCCATTATCGGAGCCTTATAGTATAATACAAAGGGATGTTGGATTACATTGGAGGCGTAGGATTTGAGTTTTCATGTAAATGGGGTATTACAAACATCTGATCATTCATAGCATTTCCGTTTTTTTTGGTGCAGAACTATATTTTTTTCATATGAATAAGAAAAGATGTTATATATCTTACAGGAAGACAATGAACCCGCTTAGACAGCATCAACACCACCCTCTCCAGTACCAAGGGCATATAATCCAACTGAGCCAGCAGCTAGAATTGAATATCAAGGCAGGATAACAAACCCAGTAGGGGCAAGTCGAGGGGTTAACCTTCATAGATTGCAAGACAGGGGCCCAGCCAATGAGGTACATATTTTTGGCCGACACTTGTCATTTATGCGCAGCCTATTGTAAAAATTCCAGTGAGAGTTTATCCATACTTATTATTGTTAATCCAGGTAAACAGACAACAACAAAGTACATCTACTAAGACATTTCCTGTGGAAGTCACAAAGCATTTGCGGATAAAGAGAAGGCAAGGCTCTAGGGTAAGTTCTGATGTCTGGGATCATTTCACTCCACATGAAACAGAAGATGGTCCAACTGCAGTATGCAATTATTGTCACCAAGTTTATATATGCAACCGATCTATTCATGGTACAAGCACAGTGCGTAAACATGTGATGAACCTATGTGCATTATCTCCATTCTGGGACCCTGAAAAACGAAGAAAGATCACACACGAAGACACCATTTCAGTATTGAAGACTGGCGTAAAGCACTTGCCAAGATGGTTATAGATGATGAGATGACTTTCAATGTTGTAGAAGGTGAAGGCTTCAAGGGTGACTCAAAGACACTTGAACCAAGATTTGATCTACGTTCCAGAATCACTGTGGCATGAAGATTTACCTAGAAGAGAAGACAAATTTGAAGCAGAGCATGAAGGGTCATTGGATTTGTTTCACGACAGATACATGGGCATCAGGTCAAAATCTAAACTATATGTGCTTGACTGCTCATTGGGTGGATGATTGGGTCCTTCAGAAAAGGGTCCTCAACCTTTGTTTGTTTCCCGACCACAAGGGTGAAACGTTTGGAGAAAAGATTGAAGAGTGCCTCTTGGAGTGGGACATTGACAATATATTCACTGTTACTGTTTTTTTTAGTGGAATTCACTGTTACTGTTGACAATGCTTCTTTGATGATTCTGCAATTACCCATTTGAAGTCAATCAGCAAGGACTGGAAGACGACCATTTTGGATATGAATTCATACATATCAGATGCTGCTGCCATATTGTTAATTTAATTGTCAAGAGTGGGCTAGAATTCATCGATAGCTCTGTAACCAAAATAAGAAAAGCTGTACGTTATGTGACATCCTTTCTAGGAAGGTTAGACCAGTTCAAAAAGTGTGGAGGAGGAGAAAATATCTGACAAAAGCCTTCTTTAGATGTTGAAACTAGATGGAATTCCACTTACCTCATGTTGGGATCTGCAGTTAAGTTTGAGAAGGCATTCTTTAGATTAGCTAAAGACAACAAGAGTTATTTATCTCATTTTAGTGAGGCTGGCATCCCAAATGTGCAAGACTGGACCTATGCGAGAGAGTTCATTGCAACTCTGAGGCCCTTTTGTGATGTGACAGTACGACTCTCTGTCTGGTGTAAATAGTGTTCCTGTATGCATTTTTGTGAACTTGAGGACTTTCCCTATTTCTAATTCTTAAACAGTTTCCTGTTGGTTTTCTAAACTCAATAGGTTACACTGGGTGCATTTGGATGTTCCTGCTGGTGTTACAATTGGAAGAAGCTATGCACTTTGGGTGCAATAGTTGGATGTGATAGCATTTTGGATGCAATAGTTGGATGTGATATGTTAGATTACATTTGAGTAGTATTCTTTGGATATTCAAGTTGCAATAGAGGATGCAGGCTGTACAAGCGAAGGCTTAGAGATTTGTTGGTTGGTTGCAGTTAGTACAAGGTCTCTAGTACAAGATGAATTTGCAAGCTGGTAGTAGTGAACTTGTACCCTTGCATTTGTGTCATTTTTACTTCTTAATCGAATGCACATTTCTACAAGAAATTTTGGTCAACATTGTTTTGATTATTGCTGTAATTCAAATCACAGTTTGACTGTACTCATGGCGTGCTATTTGTGGTAGCATGCTTCCTCTGGCGCCACATCAGCTGTCCTACATGGCGCTACATTAGCAACGATGGAGGTAAATCGGACTTTTACGATATTTCACGAAGGTCAATTAGCAATGTAGGGCGGCTCACATGGCATCACATAAGTCAAAACCGCTTTCAAAACCACTCGACGTAAGAGGAGTCTAAAAAACTGATTATCTAATTGTGGAAGGCAAATCAAACTCACGCAATAGTTGAGCCACCTAAATCCGAGACTTCAATCAGAGCCTCACTTTTGACTTGAGTCTTCTACTTTTCGATGTCCTATTTTCTAGACTCCACTCTAACAATATATCTTAAATCAGAGTCTATACTTTTTCTTATGACATGCAAGACCTATCATAACTATTTATTTAGTCCATTCATTCACATCTCCCTCTCCCTCTCCAGTCTCCACGTGATGGGGCTTGGCAATAGTGGCAAACTGGCGCAATATTCGGCATCCCATCTTTTTGTGTTGTTGTCTTATTTCCATGCATCGATGCTGATTTCAGAGTTGTCCCTCGTCCGTCTCCAAAGTTGCTCGATGACTTCTCTTGTCTTAAATTCAAATAACAAGCACATAAAGTGAAATGTCTACCAGGGATAAAATAAATAACTCGGACAGAAAGGACTGATCACTACCAAAAATTTCACAAATTAACAACTCTTCTCCCCATGCCCAAGTTCAGTTGGAAATGTGAACAGAAATTTAAATCATATTTGCTGGGAATATCAATGAAGCAATCCGAAGCTTCTAAGTTAAAATTATATCCCATAATAAAACAAATTAGTGTAAAACAAATAAAACTATATAACCAAAATCCTTATGATGAACCACATCGTTCAAACGTATAAGAGGACCAAGCACAAAACACCTTGGAATTATCTGAGTGCAATTTTAGCGTTCCAATGCAATATTCAAAAAGGATTGCATAGCCAGCATCTCACTGCAAAAGACATTCAAGCTGGCAGACTATGGAGTAGTATTCTAACTGAATATGGATTACACATAATTACATATCAGTACGCACCTTGAGAATTTTCATGCTGAACCCAAGCTCCTAGAAAACTGCCATCCAGTGCTCAAATTCCTTCCCAAGATTCTCATCTGAGCATGAAAGGCTCCATGGGAGGTGTGGTTCAGATAGTCATTCTGTGGTGTTACATGGTTAAAATTTCAACAAAACTGCTCCGCTCCAGCCTCATCTTCTCCTATTCCTGTTAATGGGAAGCCATTCACGATCGATACTAGTTTGACACTACTGCCTATTCAATCTGTATATAATTATAATGCACAAAATAATATAAATATGTATAAAAATATATAGTAGCTTCCATAAAATTATTTAGTATGGAACTATGGAACACCACACACAAGAATCAAGTGATGGACATTTTAGAGCAAGAAACAGCCACCTGAAATGGAGATGCATACAGTTATGAATTTGCTTGGACGTCTATCAACATAGACACACCTAACATTTTTCATTTTCCTGCACTATTCCTTTAGTTCAGCACTGCAGTTGCTCACATAAAGCTTCTGCAGTGAAGCTGGAAGGCCCTTTTCTGGTAGTGATTGTAGTCCTGGACAATCCTTGATTGACAACTTCTTAAGGGATTGAAAGCAATGCAACTCGTTAGGCAGTGATTAAAGATCAGGGCAATAGCAAAAGTCAAATACTTGGAAACATGTTGTTGGGGGCAGGCCCCACCGACGGGCACCCCATGGGGCTCATCCGCCATCCTATTCGCTCACTAATCGGTCTTGGCTCGACGTCACATGCAACATTTCGCCCGCGGGCGAAAATGACAGGCGCCAGGAACGTAATCGGTCTTGGCTTGACGTCACATGCAACATTTTGCCCACAAATAGTCAGGCATGGTATGGCCATTTTGTCAAGGCGGAATGAGGGCGGCGCAAGCCGCGTGGTATCAGGCCACACCCTAAATTGATTCCCCTTTCCGCCTTGGCGGAATGGCGGGCCAAACCGCAAGGTCCACCCAAGCCCCGTGGCTGACTAAGCTCCATTCGCTCCGATCGGCATGGTCAGGGCGTGGAGACGGAGCAAACTATTCATTCAGGCGAATAGGCACTGGTAATTCGTTTGATTGTTGTTGCAGGTTTTCGTCAATAAAGGAGTCACCCGCTCTCGTATGGCTGACAGCTCCTGTCCGCCTGGGGCCCACTTGGTCGGTCAGAAGGGCGACAAGAGGTGAGGCTAGTCAATTTCTCCCGAGCCGGCGCCACCTAAGGAAGACAGGGACTCAGATTGGCGAGCAAGCCCATGACAACAGAGAATATTCTCCAGATATTGTAGTAGTTATAGGGGCAGCTTTGTCCTATAAAAATGCCTACAGGCATGTATAAATAGCCCCCGTGAGGGGAATGTAAGAGGGAGAGAAACAAGTTCAATAAAATTGTTCATCTTGTTTCGCTCAAGTCTTGTTTTATCCACTTCTCGTGCTTGATTTCGCTTGAGCGGCTACCGGTGTTCGAAGGCCGTGGCCTAGAACAACATTGGCGCCCACCGTGGTTGTTGCTCGAGCTTATCATGCCACCAAAGAAGACGAAGATGGAGACGGACAAAACAGCACCATCCGCGGCTGCAGCTGTTGCGGCAGCAACGGAAGCAGCCGTGCGAAATGATGCAGCAACAGCTACGAAACCACCCGCGCCGCAGCCACAGATGGATAATATCGCAAACGCCAGAAGGCGACGTCGAAGAAGTCAAGATCGACCAAAATGGCGATGAGGTCGAAGAAGATGAAGACGGCGAGATCACTGAGCAAGCAAGAAACCTGAAGACCCTGAATCAGTACCAGCAAGACATCCTCAGACTCCAAAACGTGAAGGAGCAGCTGCTCAGGCAAGCCGCTGCCCGTAACAGAGCCGAACAGACATAGAGGGAAATTAGGGAAGCCAAAATCTAGAGGGATAGATTGGCGAGAGAAATTCAAGGATTGCAGAGAGCAGGAGCAGGAGGTGCCATCCGCGCTAGCGGAAACATTGTAATACCAGATGATAACCTCCTGGAAGTAGACGAAAGTGCATATGACCCCACTTCACCTTTGTTGAAAGAACTTCAGCTATATCCATGGCCAGCCGGCTACAAGCCCGCATTCCTGTCTTCGACGGAAAGTCAAACCCGAGGAAGTTCCTCGTGAGTTATGAGACCGCGGTAACATCAGTCGGGGGAGACGATCAAATCCTCGCACAGTCACTCACCATGGCGGTTGAAGATATCACACATGATTGGTATATTTCGTTGAAGCCGTTATCCATCAGGTCTTGGAGCCAAGTCAGAGCGGAGCTAGTTTCCACCTTCCAAGGATATCACCTGGGAATGAAAACAATGAGAGATTTGCTAAATTACATTCAGCGAGATGATGAATCACTGTTTGAGTTTTTGGAAAGATTCATTCAGACAAAAGCTCACATGCCAAACGCACCAGAGGAGACGGTTATAGCAGCAGCCGTGGAAGGGTTGGCCATAGGCCAGTGTGCAGCTCACTTCGCTAGGAATTACCTGTAACAACCCAAAAATCCACACACCAAAAATCACAACTACAAAATTTTTCTTCAAAACCCCATGCAATGTTGAGTAATATCTGTAGGAGCCAACCCTAGGTGTTGCATTAATTGTAACCCAACTAAACAATTTTATGAGCATGGCATGTCATTTGTTAATTATGTTTATTTAAATACTGACAAATAAAATATAGCATACATTGTTAACTCAAATGGTGATTTGGATTTCCATTTGCTTTATGTAATGCCTAACAACTCCTTTAAAAAATATAAAAATAATAAACCTTAAAGTAATTATTAATCAAACCAAAGAATAAATGCTTAAAGAGAAAACTATTTCTATTTTTGTATAATAAAACTACACCTAATTTTTGTTATACAAAATAGCTAAATAAAGTTCCTAATATATATAAAAGAATGTTGTGGGCATCATATCTAAAACTCCAATGAATAAGGTACACCAATTCTGAATTTAAATTCCAAATCACATTTGAATTTAAACAAAGGAGAAGGAAAAATAAAACAGAAAAGAAGAAAAGAAAAACAGAAAAGGAGAAAAGGGAGGAGCTAGCCTCGCAGCCCAAGCAACCGAGTCGGCCCAGCCTGCCTTCTACCACCAGCCGGCCCAGCTCGCCATCCCGGCTTCGCTGGCTCACGCAGCCACAAGCAGGCCTGGCCTGACCGCGCGCGGCCCACGCAGCCAGCCGCACGCCACCACGCCGTCGTCTTTCCCCGTGCTGGCTGACGGGTGGGACCTCCTCATCATCCCCCTCGGTCCCCTCCTCTACATCCTGAGAACAAAGCACAGATGTCGTGGGAGAAAGATCCGATGCCACCTCGGCCCCTCTCCACCGTCCGTGCCTCACAACCGACCATGAGGCCCCATTGGATGGGTGCCACGCTGGCACCGGCTGTCCAACAGGGTCACGCACGGTGCATGACCGCTGCCGCGTGCGCCTGCCATGGCCATGGCCGAGCCGTGACCTTTTCGCCTCCCTGTCCCCCGCCTTGTTGACCAAGGAACGCGAAATTGGTTTCGCCAACGCACCCGCGGCCACGTCGTGACCCCGTAGCCCTAGCCTCGACGCGATCATAGCCCTCCTCGCGCCCCTTGGCCATCCCAGCCGCTCGCTCCATGCCATGGCCGAGCTTCGGCTATAAAAGCCCCGGCCCCGGTTGCCCTAGCGCGATCCCGTGCCCCGCCACCACCTGGTGGCCATCCCCGCACACACCCGAGCCAAGAGAGAGAGGGGATAGAGAAAGAAGAAGGAGCGCCGAAGCCACCCGACGTCGCCGGTGTTGCTGCAGCGAGGACGTCACCCTGATCAACTACGTCGACGCTGCTGCTCAGCACTTCACGGCATCGTCTCGACACGGCCACGACCCGCCACTGCACCGCCATCCTTTCACCATCGACACCGAAGGTGAGCCCACGCACCGCCCTCTGCTCACCGTCACCGAGTGCACCATGGCCACCGACGTGATTTCCCCATCTAGGAGGCCCAACGTCCACACCTATTGCCGCCTCGGAGCACGGCACACTCATGCACACGTCCACGACCACACCTACCACCTCGCCAAGCCCCAAAGGACCGGGCACAGCGAAGCCCTGTATGCGCACCAAGCACGCTCGCCATGGCCGGAGCACGACCATGGCGGAGCTGTTCTGTCCGATGCAAGCTAGTAGAGGTAGGATGGATCGACTCGCCTTGATCGTGGGAAGCTGTAGAACGCCCAGACCACCCCGCCGGCGCCCCGTAGCGCTCCGACATGCCCCGCCGTCGTCACCGTACCGCCACGGACGCCGTAGTGTCCCTACCGGCCACATGGAGACTCAAAGCCCCGCCTGAGCCCCTAGATGCCCTCGCCGTGCCCCCACGGATACGTAGAGGCCTTTATCCGCCCAACCGAGCCACCAGGGAGCCCCCATGCATGGCCTCACCACCGACGAGAGCTCTGCTCCGGTAGAACACTAGTGGAGAAACGGGGGGCAGAGCTTCTCGTCCACCGTAGACCTGCCCGCGGTCCATGGACCAGCGCTCCTAAGTCCACTGTGGACCGTGCCTATGAACCAAAGCCCGTTAGTGGCCCACTGGGAGCCCAACAGCGCCATGTGGCATCATTCGCAGCGCGACACATGTCCGGGCCGACCCGCCCAAATCCAGCCCTGTCCCGGCCCAACCGCCCAGTTCGGACCCGGTCCGTGTTGACCGTTGACCGGTCAACGTTGACCGATTGACCGGACCCACATGTCAGCGACACAGAGACTCGGGACCCACATGTCAGTAAGTGACATCATGCTGACGTCATGACAACATCACGCGGGTCCCACCTGTCAGTAACAACACAGTCGAGGTGACGTCATGATGACATCACGGTGACGTCAGCTGCCCTGGCCCCACCTATCAGTGACTGTGATCCGTTGACTCACCCATTGACTTAACGTTGACTTTGACCGGACCCACAAGTCAGTGACCCAAGAGCCTCTGGCCCCACCTGTCGGAAATGATGACGTTGATGACATCATGCTGACGTCAAGATGATGTCAGCAGGACCCCACTTGTCACGTCATGCCGTGATGATGACGTCAAGATGCCACCACGTGGACCAGATCCACAGTGTGTGACGCGTGTCGACCAGAGATAATTTAGCCTTTTCCATTTTCAGAGATGAATTTAATCTTTGGAAATTCATAACTAATTCATACGACCTCAGAAAAATATGAAACTAGGACCAAAATTCATCTAAAATCGAGCTTTACGCAATGAACCCATGTTTGAGTGCATTTGGCTCTTTTGAACTTTCATTGCTTCTTTGTGCTATTCTATAAACGTCGCTAACGCGACTATAATTCGAATGTATGCAGACTCGGAGGAGAATCAGACGGATGAGGATCGTGAGTACCGTGAGGAGTACGAAGGCGACTACACTGAAGGTGCCACATCCTACCCAATCCCGTAGCACCTATTACGCATGACTGAAATAGAAATGCTAGTGCTTTACTTTATTGTTATGATCACACTATGATAGGACTTGCATGGTAGTATGCTTTCTTGATGGCCTTTACCTTGACGCAACCTTACCCCTGCTCACCCTGCTGTTAGGCTAGTCACACGTTTGCTGCTATATTTCATTGCTTATTACTTCTACTATGCTTGTACTACATTGATGCGTGGTGAAAAACTGGTGCTATATGGACTATGGGGAGAGTGTTGCGTGTGTGACTTGGGTGCGTGGAGGATGAGGGTTGTGTCGACCAAGTTGGAGTATACGACGAGCCTAAGGCAAGTCTTGCCGTGGGGTGCTACCTGGGCACCCCTGGAATGGATACCTGTGGTGGGTAAATGGTATATGAGGTGGCCCTGGGTGTGAACCTGTGATGGGAGGAGCCCAGGGTGGAGGTGCTGTGGTGGCACGGTAAATGGAAACCCTGATGAAGACATTCTGGCTTGGTCATCCCTAAGGACTTACTAGTACTCAGATTCACCGGGAAGCCTTACGTACCACTCGCCCTATATGGTGCGGGACGGCCAGACTACTAGGTAGGATATTGCCACTACTGCTAGGTTGATAGAGGATAGTGTAAGGAGGTACGGGGCGCGGAGGATTTCCCCCACACCCTTCCGAGACTTCATGGAGACCTTGTGGACTCGGCTCATGACTCACAGTTTCAGCCACCCCAGACTAGACTTGGGGTGTACCAGGGCTGAATGGTAGAGTGGCATTATCCTAGGCTAGCAAGCGGCCGAAATCAGCCTAGTTGACGACGGTCAGCGGGGAAGGCGGATCTTGTGGTTATGTAAAACCTCTGCAGAGTGTATGGTTGATCGATCGATACATACGCCGACTTGTCGGCTATAGACCTTTCCTGGGTTTCGCTTAAACTAGATAGCGAGATGAGTCCTTCTCTTCTCCCCCCGTGAAAGAGTGTCGGTCATAGCCAGGGGCTACGGGCCTTGAGATAGTGCCGAGAGGGAGTTGGCATGTCGACTGAGCGAGGGTATGGTTGTGATGTGGTGTTGAAGTGGAGATGGTGGTGTATCGATCCTAGGATCGAAACCTGGCTCTGGACGGAAATGGGGTGGAATGGGTGTGGGAATGGTGTTAAAACTTGACCAATTATTCTTATATACTTGATATGCTAAAACATAGGAAACCCCAGCCTTATAGGTTCCTTTTGATTATATCCAACTTGCATCCAATTTCCACAAAGCAATGCTCATAGGGTGCGAGTGGCCAGTACAAATCGTACTGATAAATTTTGGCACACAGGTTCTGTTGAGGAGTATAGCTCCGAGGAGTTTGACGGTTGAGGGGTTCGTTCCTACGCTCAAGTTTGGCGATCTTATCTTCAAGCTGTTCTGAATGAATGCTA